CATTAAAACCATGCTAATATTTGTATTTGATCACAATTGAACATCCAGAATTAAAAACATGTCAACAGGTTTTTGTTTTTTTTAAAGCATGATTTCCCCTAATAATATTAACTATAATAATGCACAAATATCTTTCTTTGGCTTCATAAAATTGGTGCTTTTTAAAATTTTTGCTAAAAGACTGAAACAGGCCAACTCTCTCATACTTGGTTTGATTTGCCCCTTTTCATCATCCAAACTGCTAGTCTACTTATTTCCTCTTAGAAATTCAAGATTACATTTGAGAGAAAATCATTACATGGCTGTATTGGCAGGTAGTTGGACACCATGGTTCCAAACTTATAGATGTATTGACAGAATGTGCTCTTGCTAAACTTATCTCACATAGGGTATAGTTTTGCAAGATATGAACAGATGTTCTTTACATAAAATCCACTATCAAATAGGTTTGAGAAGTACAAGACTCAGTAGCTTAAAGTAACACCCATTTATGTGATGTATTCCTATTTTCTTCACGAGACCTTGGATTAGCAAGATGTTACTTGGGCCTCAAATATGTACCACTGTTATTTCTATTTTATAAGTAAACTGAGACTTATGCAAATTTAACAGCTTAATGATGTCCATTTGGGACACAAACATGAGCCAGTCTCCTTTAAAATACTATGCTCAAGACATATTTAAGTAGGATTTCTCGTACTCAGAGTAGCCCATTACTTATAAAAAGGTTGTGAGGTTGTTGGTTTTTCTGAATTTATCTGAACCTGATCCTAACTTGTTGTATAACTTGTACAAAAATGTCATGCAGAGATTTGAAAAATCCAGCTATGAAAGAATATTCTTCTACAACTTAAAGTACACATGGTCTCCAAACTTGTGAACAAGTTCAATGAGTTCCTTGATAGGTAGGGAAAGATTCTATTTTTTAATTACGTAGGACTTCCTTAAAGCAGTTCAGCTAGGGATATTTGTGTTATTCATTTCATAAACACATCACACAGATTCAGTCTACAATTTACAAATATTTAGATGTCTGTATTTTGAACTCTGGTCTAAATTAAGACAAATCTTCAATTCTTATTCCAGATGGTGTGTATCTCACAATCCACATAAGCACAAAAGTAAACAGGAAAGAAGTCACATGACTAATGGACAAATTCTCCACACATACAATTATTAAAAATAAACAAATGAGAAGGATTTCATCATTTCACCAGTTCTTTTGTTTTTAAAAGATTGTCTGCAAAGTAACAGACACAACTGTTTTTTAATATTTTAGGTTGAGAGATTGTTCTATTAATTCTAAGATGTTCAATTTTTAACCTGTATATACAAAAATCATCACAGGATAAACTAAACTGCAAGATTTTAATAGTATAGCATCTAGATTAGAAATCTTTCTTCTGCATGGGAGATGCAAAAATAAAATAGTAACTTTAATGAATATTTTAATCAAATTATGGTATGAGTTTAAATAAAGATTTTTTTTACTCAAATGATCAGAGTTTATAACAAACATTTTAACTTTTTATTTCATGCACAATTATTACAAAATTGGAAATAACCAGAAGAAGATGAAGAGGAACTACCTTAGTAAAGGCTTTGCCTGAGAAAACACTAACTCAATAAATTCAGTCTCAAATAAGTCATTTTTAGTCAACAATAAATTTGAAACAAATCCATCACTGACCTGATGTATTTTGACAAAAATCAACACACTATAAACAATTTTCAATTAGATAAATACAAAAGCTGCATGGAAAGAATATTAATAAGATATATACTAAAAAATGATCATTCATTTAGTAAAAATTTAGGTTAAAACATTAGAAAATATCCCAATGAAAGAAATATTTAGTGTACATAATACTATATTTTGAGATAATTAATATTTTGTTTTTCCTAACATTACTTTATGAAAACTATTTGTGATTCTTCTTTCTAAGAGCACAAAATAAACATCAGATTAGGTAATGTGTAACTATTACTCTCCAAACACAACACAGAGAGCACGGGAGGTGTACATTTGAACTGACTTACAGTTTCACCAAATCAAGCATGTTGGTTTCAGTTTTTGTTTACTAAGGTTTATAAGTCCCTTCCTTCATGAATCAAAGCTTTTTAATTTTATGAAGGTAAGGATTACTTCTACCTTGCTGAACCCCTAGAACCAAGTAATTCTATAAATAATGTGTGAGTATAAGATGAGCATAGGAAAGAAGAAAAATGAGAATGCAGGGTAATTTGAATAAAAGGAGGGAAAAAGATTAGCAACTTAATCCCACAAAAAATACAGGGTACCCAGTTAAATGTAAATTTCAGAGAAACAATTTTTCAGCACAAGTATGTCCGACATATTTTAAACTTCAAATTTAACTGGGCAACCAGTTCTTTACTCAGTGGTGATAACACCTTGGAATCTACATCAAATATTGCAAAACTACCAGGAAGTTGTTAAATGTTAATATGAAGCACAGAATGCAGGCTGCGTAAACCACAGAAGTCTGTGTTGGGTGATGTCATCAAAATAATAATGTAAAACAGATGTAATAAAGTACACACAAAGGAAACTTCCAGTTTTACATCAGCAAGACAATGACTAACCAAATAAAGGCCTACATGGATGAGCATGTGAACAGAAGGGAAAGGCTTCTGGGCACCTGAGAGGCCCATGTCCCAATGCTA